TGTTTTCATCCAGAAGTCTTGCAACTGCTAAGCTGTCTGCTCTTGTGCTGTACATATCCTGTAAAAAAAAATTTAAAGAAAGGAAGGGAGCATTCTGGTAGCAACACAATTACTTTAATACATTATATTTACTCAAGCCTAGACATTGCCATTGGATTCAAACCTTAGTTTTGGTCAAAACAAGAAAAAAATCTGAAGATGTTGAAATGGCAACAAACTACAAATGACTTAAGACTATTTTAATGTAACATTTTATTATATAAACTATAATTTATTATGTATCACATAATTTTTTTCTAAGAAGTTCCTAAGCAGTATCTTAATAGCAAAGCTAATTGGCAAGTAAATTTTTAATGCAACAATCCCCATTGTCACACCAATGAGCATTGGTAGGAGTTAATTCTTATCTTTGTATCCATCTTCAAAATCCTTTGCCTCAGGAAAAAGGCATACTTTAAAAGTCAATAAAAAATGGACATTTTAGATCAGAGGGAAGTTCTAAGATGAATGCACAAGTGGTTAAGATACAGCTTTCTTTTACCAAGTTCAGCACTGTTTTTCAGCCTGTGCTTTTGTGCCTTGTGTTATTGACTCACTCATACAACAGTGACCCTGTATGCCAGCCAGGGAACACATATCAATATTAAAAATAATAGTTTTATTATGTTCTGTCTCTTGGGCAAAATGTTCCCGAACATGAGATATTCCAGATAAATGTCTGATCTGTGGACCTTCAGGCTAAGTAGAGAGAGATAAGTAAGAGACATTATCTCAAAGATAACCAGACTGCCTCAGGAATTAACTCCCAGGAAAAAGGAAAAGAAAAAAAATAAAGCTTCTTGGTACTCAGAAAGCAATACTCATTGTATGAACACAAGTATCTAGAACCATTTTAATCCTCAATAGTTCTTAAGACACAACTTTCACATCTGGGTCATCAATATTTGTTATGACACCTGGGCTATTTTAGCTCTGCTTTGGGTTGGCAGGGAACCTTTACAGGTCATCTAGTCCAACCTCCCTGCAATGAGTAGGGACACCTTCCACTAGACCAGGTTGTTCAGAACCCTACCCAACCTGACTTTGACTGTTTCCTGGGATGGGGCATCTACCTCCTCTCTGGGCATCCCACGCCAGTGTTTTACCACCCACAAAGTAAAGAATTTCTTCCTAGTATCTAATCTGAATCATCCTTCTTTTAGTTTAAAACCACCTTCCTGGTAGGCACCCTGTAAGTATCAGAGGCCACAATAAGGCTCTCCCCAGAGCCTTCTTTTCTCCAGGCTGAACACCCCCAGCTTTTCCAGCCTTTCCTCATAGAAGAGGTGGTCCAGCCTCCTGATCATCTTCCATGGCCCTTCTCTGGACTCACTCTAGCAGGTCCACATCCATCTTAAGTTAGGGAGCTGGCCCAGAGCTGGACACAGTACTCCAGCTGAGATCTCACCACAGAGGAGTAGAGGGGGAGAATCACCTCCCTCAATCTGCTGTAACACAGTTACCATGCTTATTTTTTTGAGAGGTAACAAGTAGTACACTCATCATGTGAGAAAATACATAAACATGAGAAAACTCAGTAGAAACGAGCATTACAAAATCACAAGTCAAACCTTACTTAGACGGCGTGAAGATGCAAAAACCAAGTTAAACTGAAGCATCTGAGATGACCTCAGTTGCTAAAGCATGGTGCCAATAACACCATGGTTGTGGGTTTGATGACTTAAGAGCTGGACTTGAGGATCCTTGAGGGGCCCTTCCAACTCAGAAAATTCTGTGATTTCTGTGACCTTAAGTGGTACGTCAGGAGTTTCTGTATATACCACTGGTGGAGTTATGCTGCCACCTATTGTGAGGATGAACCTGACACTCATTATTTTGCTAGGCAACATTACCACTTGCCTTTTTGTATTAGAAATGCTTTCTTCTGAAATATCTGCTACTGATCAGTGCTGGTGAGAGGTTGCAGGCATAGGTAGCCTTTCAGCTGGACCAAATACAGATGTTAATATATTCTGATCTCTAATCTACCACAATGTACAGTTTAATTTGTCTCTGTCCGCTACTGACAGCTCAAAAGCTGGTCCAAAATGAGAACCCTGCTTCTCTGCACTGATCAGTGGTGGAGGAATGCAGCCAAGGGCAGAGACAATGTGCTACCCTGGCAAAATGCTCCAAGATGTGCTTCTCCTTCTTCCCTCATGTGAGGAGCACAGGACTGTAAGTTCCACAAAACTGAGACAGCACTTAAGCTACAGTATAAACTCATGACTGTGCCTTTAGGACACCCCTTCTTCCCCCCAAGCACAAGGGCAGCCCATGTGGCCTTTATGTATATTGTGCCTGGCTCCAGCAGCCACGGTTACCAGCCCTGAGCAGGAAGCTCTGCTGCTCAAAGCTCATTTTTTTCTGCACACAGAATTTAGGCAAACTTATTTCAGGAGAGCAGCCTCAGGAAGCCCAGGCCAGCACACCTCCAGAGGCTCACACCACAAGCAAAGCTGAAAGAAACTACAACAGTACTTCCACCTCTCTAAAACTGAAGTAGCTCAGTACCTGCCAAGTTCTGCAGTTCTCAATGTACCTTCCCCCACCTTTTTATTTCACCTCTGCCTTGGCACAACACAGAGATGCTGTTCCTTCACTTCTCCAGTAGTAGTAAGCAGCTATGCCAAGACCAAGGCACTAGGCCATCCCTGCCATCTTCAGGTCACTTAGCTGAAAATGAAGCCATCTGTTCAGCCACAGCAAGCAGTGTGCATCATCACTCCCATGTGCTCCTTCCTTCCAATCCTCCCCATGCCTGCCTCATTCATTTTTACTTCCAGCTTTAGGGAACCAAATGGTTTCAATCCAGAGCAGCACCGCAAACCAGGCGCAGTGTACTCAGGAGTCACTCTTGGACAGCCTGGATAGCTGCTCAGGCCAACCAATTAATGGGATTTTCTCACTTATCTTTCAGGCATTCAGCAGCTTCCAAACCACTCAGCAGGAGAGAGAATCTCTGGAGCTGCAGCTGGAGTGAAACCTGATTATATAGACAGCAGTGGTGCAGCCAGCTAGGACAGCCAGGTACAAGTGCAGTCAGCTCTCCAGCAAAACAAGCACCAGAAGCATGAGGTGTTTCTGCTTTTGGTGTGCCACAGGGTACGTATTTTTACACTTCTGAATTGAGTCCAGCCAGGATCTGTCAAAGTCAGGGCTGCTTGCAGCACAGAGGCAAATGAGTATGCCAAGCAACTCAAGAAGGCACTGTAAGTAGCAGATGGCATTTTCAGAGTATTGACACAATTTATGAACTCCCTGGACAGGTGTTTGCACTCCCTTGAGCCCAGGAAAGGGACACAGAGCACTTGCAGCAATGGAAGCTGTGTGATGGTGTCTGTGTGACTCCTGGGCTCAATACCCCACCACCATTAGGAGAACTGTCCTGAAAAAGAAAGGCTGGGTCCGGGTCCATGGGTAACTTTCACCTCCTCATCCTCTGAACTGGTTTCTCCAGAAGTAGGTTGTTCTGGGGAGTAATCTGGGATAAAAATCCAAGACAGTCTGTGGCCCTTGGCTCCATAGATAAACTGCAGCTTAGTAGTAGGAACCAGAAGTACTCTTTACAGCAGAGTGGGATGAGTCCTCAGTACCCTTCTCTTCCTAAGTACAACCTGAGCACATCCAGAAATACATTCCTATCAGACTCTTCAACTGCCCTGCAAGCAGGCAAATTTTTCTAAGCTTCTTCCCTACTCCCAGCAACTCCTGTTGCCCTTCCATTTATTTTATCAATAGAAGATCTCACTTTCTGGTCACTTAGGACACACATTATTTGCATGGCAGTGAAAAAACAAAAATGTGTTTAACCTGGATTTTAGCCCAAATTCAGGAGCCATCAGGTTAGGATAGGCTTACCTGTTCTGAAAGGGCTGAGGTCCAAATCCTGAGTCTATCACACAAGGATGACCTATTTCTACCAGGAGATCCCCTACATCTTAAAGAATTTTAAATCAAGATACAGCATCTTGACTTCAGACACAACACTGACCACAGTTTAAGTCAAATACTCTTGGCTTTGTCTCAACAGTGACAAATTCCAGCCTAAATGGTAGCTTGCAAAAACCCTCCATGATCCCATCCCTATACCCAGCAGCAGTGATTCATCATTCGCAGTGATAAAGGACAGTACAGGCACACAGGTACTTTTTTTCTTTTTTTTTATTGCTGTTAATTCAAGGAAAAAGGTTGCATAAAATCCAATCTCTTCTAGAAATATAAGTGACCTTTCCAGTACATTTCAAATATCAAAGTATATGGTAAACATACAAATAAAGAGAAGGTAACATACCTCCTATTTACAGTACAGTATTTTAAATCATAAAATAAGTTCCATAAAGTACAACTGGCAGGTAATTCACAATACAAGTCCATTGGTGGTTTAACACCCTCACTTCAACTCAAACGCAGTTCATTCATTTCAAGTGGTCCAAAAATACCCAGATCAAATAAAAATTTTAATCAAAATAATTTTCATTTACTACTTAAACTTTTTTTTTTTTTTTTTTAAATTAAAGCTTTCATCTACCTCCCTCCCCTTCCCCCCCTCCCCCAAGAAAAAAGTTTCAAAATGTACACTGGTGCTATAAATATAAATGCTACCTATGAAGAAATGTAGTAATCAAGCTTTTTTTTTTTTTTCCTTTTTTCTTCAAGTTTTTTGTTTAGCAATTTATTAGACGGTTGAACCAAAGACTGATTTTTATTTCATCCCTCTACCGGACACTGGGTCTGATTTTAAGAAAAAAACCATTTCTGCCATGAACTGTGAGGAATGCCAAACCCTATGGATATACAGTGGTAGTTGTTCATCGGTGTTGAATGCAGCAGTCAAAAAACACACTCGTCTTCCAGATAACCTCAGTGCACTTTAGGAAATCAAATATTACCTGGAAGCAATTTAGTACATATATTGGCTTTTAAAAATAAAATAAAAAATACAGCAGCATTAAACTTACTTACTCATGATACTGACATGTTTAATACCATCTTAACACTCATTTCAGTCTTTCACATTATACCGTAATTACGCATAGTGGTAAATTGTTATAAAATAGTGACTTTTCTATTTGGTAGACAGGTTCTAATACTAATACCTGACTATTTTGTAGAAAACCATAGCTTTTGTTGAGTCTGAAATAAAACATTTACATTCTAAGTACAATGCAACACTGTAATAGTTTAGGAAAAAAATATTCAATCAAGTAATGTTCATTCTGTGTTGACACGATGTAGAATAGCTTTAAAAAAGGAAAAAATGCTGTCAACTTTCATTACAAATGCAAACACACTGAGTACAACATTCATACCATTTTTTCACCTTTGTTGCTGAACATACAGGCTAAAAAGCTACAAGGGAAGAAAAATCTGTCAATTTAAGCTCGTTCATTTTTCTAAATCTGTTCCAGTCCACACAGTTTCAGCCCCTTCCTGCTCTATGGATTTTCTTTTGTTTGGGCCTCTCGAGAGCTGCGTATCTGCATTATTATCAGGTATAGTACACATACAGTATCGTGTTTTCCTTTGGACTCTGCTAATAGGATGTTTGAACATCTCCCCTCAATTCATGAGCATTAAATTTAGAGTACGGGCAGGGTCTGTATGAACTGTTAAACACTCATGCAAGTCCAACAAATCCACATGGACAACCAAGGAAAGAAAAGAAAACAGCAGCATAAGGAGAACAGGGAGGGAAGGAAGAAGATTGTGGTGGGGAACATGACCAAGTTTCTTCTTTCACCATATGGCTGCTCCACCAGTGATGTCAGAGGTCAGAGGAATTTTTTTTTTAAACTGCAGTAAACATTGCACATGTCTCAAGTCTTCAGTGCAAAAGCATGGTTCGAATGCTCTGTCTGATTGTTTGGCTGTGTGTGTGAATTACATGCATTACGCAAGCCTCTTGTAGAACCAGGAGGAGACCAGGGACTCAGCTTTCTTCTTTTGTACGGAACAGAGGTGCAAAAGCAATAAAAAATTCCAAAAGAATATAAAACCGGGAATGTCCCAAAACACAAGACCAACCTCCCCCTCCCACACACACCTTCCCCCAATTTCCCAAGCTTCAGTTTAAGTAGGCAATGTTTACTTGTTTCAGTCTGCAGAATCCAAGGTATCATTGGAAGGGGGAGGGGGAGGTGCGTATCTCAGTCTGTAAGTGCCTAAAACAGGAAAGAGAACTACTAAGTCACTGCTCACAATTAAAATGGATTACAAAACCACTACAAGGTATCAAAATGGACATGCTCTTCAAAAGGCACTATCATCCTCCAGTCCTTTTAAAGTAGGTCCTCAGACTTTATCCTATTTTCTTTCATCCTCTTGCTAGAACTGTACGTTTTAAAAAAAAGATATAGAGTGTAGATATAGGACTTGAGCTTTACTGGGAAAATGAAAATAAAGGATGGTCCCCCATCAAGGTTCATCTTTCCTGTTCCGGTCCAATCAAACTACTAAAGTCAGAATGGGAACAAGGGCAGGAATCAAAAATAGCTTGTGCTCAATGCAAACCCTGCATTTTCCCCATTCTTCTGGACAGAGAGAGAAATGGAAGCTATTCCTTTTATATTTAGTTCCAATCAATTTCTGCCTTTTTCCTGCAACTCGTCTGAAAAGTTAAATGTATTGCATGACAGGGCACACAAGGACAGCCGATTGTGCAAAGGTAAGCCCTAGAAAACGTTAAATATCAAATGGCTAGTCTATTGGTTTTTCTTCCAATTCTCAGAAATTTTAGGAATCCAAGGTCATATCATAGACAATAATTGGTATCTTTCACTTTTTGCCAGTGAACTCTCTCAAAAAGCACCCCACTGAATGGGAATAGGAAAACTGAAACAACATGCAAGTCTCAACATAATGCCAAAACCAAACCAGTGAGAAAAGAATGACAATTTAGGACTGGTATCATTTGACTTTCCAGCTCTGAACCCATTTTCAACTTCACGCTGTGAAGCCCGTTCCCTCGCACTGTTCTACAAGATTTTCAGGCAGAGATAGGATACTTTGCAGTTTTAGAGCGGGTCACTAGTGCACAACCATTTACACGAAACATACACACGCACGCACACCTTTCTGCAAGACCAGAAACAGCACATTCAGAAAGGTAAAGAGAAACTGCTAAACTCAAAAGCAAGTCCGCTGGGAGTTATCATGATTACCTTGTTGACTGGCCTCCATGGATGACTGCTTACAGTCCTGCGCATAGTGTCCACTTACACCACAATTGTAACATGAAACGTTCCCATTCTTCTTGGGTCCCGACCCATTTGTGTTGGCAACTACGTTAGGTGCTGGATATACAGGATAGAACCTCCCAAATCCTGCCATCTGCTGCATACCATAGTTGGCTTGGCTCCCCATCACTGGGTCATGCATAAGCCCGTTTGCATACGGAGACTGAGGCAGGAAGAACGGAAGTTGTGTTCCATTGCTTTGATGTGCTTGATTGAGGTAGCTGCCATTGCAAAGTGATGGCAGAGTGAAGAAAGATGGAACTCTGTAGACTTGTCCATGAAGTGGGTTATGATAAAAATAGCTATTAATCTGAAGGCTGCCATTGGTCCCACAGCTACACCTACGTCCGCAAGAACCGCAAGGGCCAGATCCCAACTGCTGCGGAGGTAACATTGTCCCGTTAGTGTTATTATTCCCAACAGCGTTTATGTAGGATGTGCTGTCACTCTGTGCAGTGCTGTGTGTCAGAGCAGGGCTCGGGCTGGGGGCAGGGCCTGGCGTGTGCGTCGGGATTGCAGGAGGAACAGTGGACTGGACTTGACCAACACCGAGGCCAGCGGACTGAGGTGGTGAGGAAGTTGCTCCAGTGCTCAGCACGTTCGTATTCTGGTTGGGCAACACACTGGTAGCGTGAGGGCTGCCTGGCAAAGCGTACGAAGCTGGTGGAGGTGGCGGTGCTGCTGTGGAGAGACCAGCTGCTGGAAGAACTACCTTGAGATTGGTAGGCTGAGGGATTGCTCCTGGGTTTCCCTCAATGTGAGGCACCATTTGATTCAGTCCTACCACCTGGGATGCAGGTTTTGTGATGGGATCTGTAGTAGGAACTGGGGATCCTGGGAAACTACCTGGATTGTGGACTGGGATAAAGGCAGTATTTGGTGATCCAATACTTAAGTTTCCTGTCGGCTGCTGTGGTCCATTAACTGTGCAACTTTCTGATGACCCCTGTGGAGAGGGGATTTTCAACCTATGTATTGCCAAATGCAAAGCAGGGCTACCAGGCTGGACAGAATGTGGAAGGAAAGAGGATGGGACTGGCAAAGGGGAAGCCATGAGCTCAAGGCGTTTCTCAGGTTCACCAGAGGTCACTGGGCCCATTCCCGCGGGAGGGGAATTTGCAGACTCTCTTACTGGCGAGACAGCGACAGGCGTGGTAACCAGCATTCCCATGGTTTTACCATCTGCAGATATGGGTGGTGGGACAACTGCTTCAGGCTTTTGGGCAGCGCTGTGCATCACACAGTGTAAGGCAGGCATGAAGGAAATATGCTGGAACTTTGCATTCAAAGGATCTTCTGAAAGGCTCCCATTTTCATTATTCACTGAAGAGATCTGAGCAGATGATTTGTTCATATTTGATGAACTGACAGCACTGTAGCCTGTAAACCTGGTTGTATTTTGATTCCCAGAGTCCTCAGAATTGCTGTCTGTATCTGTGGGGACAAAAGCATTTGTCAATCAGAATGAATCTCAAGCAACAGAGAATCATGCCCTGGGCTCATTTACCCATATAAAACCTATTGAGTTTGATGACATGAATGATAGTTATGTCTTCCCAAACTGTGACAACTTCCAGATTCTTTTCATTCATCCAAATTAAGCTAGGTCCATCTTCATGACTTGCCTATATCCACCTGCCCAACTAGCTACTGTGTTTTTGACTCGTGTATATCTGCAAATGCAAAGAGTAGGACACAGAGTGAATTAGGAATTTTCATCTGTCTAGAAAGATATTAACACAGCCTATTTAAATTTGGAAGGAGGGGCAAACTGTCAGTACAAAAAGACAGAGCTCCAGGACATGCCACACGTAATTTCATATAAGCCCAGCCCCTTCCATGCCAAAGTTTTCCACATTATTGTACTGTAGAAATTTCTCAAGAGAACTGGATCACTGAGGCCAAAACATTATGACATATGTTTAGACCTAAAATTCAGTGGTATTTAAACAGTGCTAGAAGCCCTCAAACCGCCCAATCATAAAATCCGCAAAGAAAAATGTATTCTGTGCCTCGTTCAGAAAACAAAGTAACTAATCAAACTGAAAAACTTACTAAAAGAAATGCAACAAAGATATTAGTCTAGGAATAAAGGCATTCATGCACACTCTCCACAAATACAACCTCTGTCTTTTTCTTCTTCACTATCAAAGCTTTCCCGCCCATCATGTCGTGGACTAGAAGGAGAGCTGTAACTTTCAGATGATGTTTCTCCACACGTATCATGACCAGATCCAGCATCCAAACTCAGATCTAAAAATACAAGTTGTCAGTTTATTTTTCATCTCAGTGTATGGAAGTGAGGTTATTTTGGTTTTCTCACATTTCAAGCTAGTTGAGATTTTAGTCTGTTCCTACTTAATTGCATCTGTCCCTTGTATTCCTATCACTTCCATTCCCAGCACTCAGGACTGGTCTCATCCCTAGATTTGTGATCAGTGAATCCTTGGTGTTAAAGAAGGTGATACAGAAAATTGATATTTATGCAAAGCAGTGAAAAGAATGATAATCCTGAATGACTGCTGTGATGTTAATACCAGGCTGTGCTCCAACACTGATTTCCTCTGAACAGTAGCAATCCAGCATTTCCATTGGCAGAGCTGCAGTGCTCCTCAGTGGTACAGGCAGAAAGCTAACTCAGCAGGACATGGCAAAACAATGCACCACTTCACAACTCACTCTTCTAGAACAGGCTTTAACCAAACTTTATCAACAAGCCCTATTCATAGAAAAAGAAGCAAACTGAAAAAGTGGTAAATTGTTTTCTAAATTCTGAATGGATCACAGGACACTCATTTGCTGGAAACCAGCTTTCAGGGTGGGTAGCTGCTATGGTTTGGCTTTCAAGTTCAGCCTCAGAGGGGAAGAAGAATTCACCCTCTCTCAGAATCTGTGACAGACACTATCTGGAAACCCCAGCCTGCAAAATCTTGGTTAGCAAAACTTCAGGACAAAAATTAGAGCATTTATTATAATGATAATTATAATTTATACTCATTTTTTATTGCTACTAGAAATGTAACAGGTTGAGATGGCTCATCGAAAAGTTGCCTTAATGCTTCAATTCTTGAAATAATTTCCTGGATTAAACCCATAATTGCTTAAATTATTTTAACAAGTACTTTGAATATCTAATATAACCTGGAGCCCCCATGTGAACCTGAGATCACTAAGAGCCAGAGTCTAAAGTGCTAGTCACAAACTATCAAGTCTTAAAAGTTACCATTGTAAATAATTAATGCTTCAGACAAGCTCAAAATAGGGAGGAGAAAATGAAAGAAAACATGATGCATTTAAGAATCACAGTCTCAAAATAGGGCATTTCAAACCAAGTCTGGATATATAAACCTAGGCAGAGTTCAGACTAATTTTTTCTCTTAGACTGTATCTCCAATAAGTATCTCAAAAGACATTTTGCTGTTTATACGTGGGTTGAAAGCTCATCTCTGAGCAGGATTTAATGGCTTCCAGCCTCTGAGGGTTACAGCTTCTTTTTAAACCAGCCAACAATTAACAGGAGGCGATTTCACATGTGTAGAGTGGTGGGTAGAAAGCAAACAGAAGTCCTATGGAAAAACATTTCCTACTAACTTTGCAGAATCAGAGAATCAACTAGGTTTGAAAAGACCTCTGAGATCATCAAGTCCAACGTATGCCTAACATCACCTTATCAACTAAATCAAGGCATCAAGTGCCACATATCCAGTCTTTTTAAAAACACCTCCAGGAATGGCGACTCCACCCCTTCCCTGGGCAGCCCATGTTCTTTCTGTGACAATTTTTTTTCTAATGTCTAGCCTAAACTACCCCTGGCACAGTTTAAGTCTGTGTCCTCTCCTCCTGTTGCTGGTTTCCTGGGAGAAGAAACCGATCCCCACCTGGCTATGCCCTCCTTTGAGGTGGTTGTAGAGAGTGATAAGGTTGCCCCTTAAGCACCACTGCATCACCTCCTAAAGTCATCATCAGTTCATAAAAGCTCAGTGTGCTTTGCCTGACAACAGAAACAGTAATCAATCAGAAATGCATGCAGCAGAACTCTGCTGTAGAGTGTTTTCTGCTTAACGGCACTTAACTACAGCTTTCCAAAATTGTTCAAGTTTTGCTAAGTTTGTGAACAGCGAATTCTTAAAGTTTTAGTCAAATGCTTTTTGTAGAAGGTAAAAACACCTGCCCATAAAACACAAACAATTCAGAACAGGATCCAGCTGGAACTCTCCAAGGTAAGAAGCAGTGAAAAGAAAGAATAAAAGCTTAAGCAAGATTGTATCACAAGTGGAAGCAACAGAAATACAAGGCACTTTTAAAGAGTTCTTTCAACACTTAGGCCAATTAGGTGTTGTAGAAAAAGGCAAACTCTTTTTCAACCTTCTGTCATGAGAAGAAAGACAAGGTCGAAACTGATATTGGGAATTTAGAAAACATCATGATGGCAAGGTCAATGAGTAACAGTCCTTCAGAAATTTGTAATAAAGCTTGGAGACTCAGTTTACTAAAGGAACACAAATTTAATTTTGTCTTACAATTGACTGATGTACACAAGTCTTGGCCAAGACACCACATTTAGGATTACCCTAATCTGAAAACTGCTCGGGCAGCATACACAGTTCTGTGTTGCAGATCAGTGGTCACTTGGTTTAAACACTACAGCTTATCAGGGGTTCACACCACAGGTTTTATACAGCTATCTTGTGATCCATTTCACAACAGATGAAGAAACCAGTAGGTTGGAAAGAGGACACTAATGGCAAGATGCTCCATATCCACACACTCAGACTGCTAAATTTCAAATGGAAGTAGCCCAACAGTAGCTGTTTCTGCAATTACTCCAATCCATAAGCCAATGTACAGACTTCACTAGTATTCTGCTATCTACGTATGAAGAGATATACCCCAAGCAATTTGATACAGAAGACTGAGTCTAGTGTGTTTATAGAACACTATATAAAAAAAGCACAAATTAGGCTGCCAATAGACCTGCACCAGAACATTTTTCAGACTTGTACTTTTCCCCTATACAGAAGACTTTGAATAAATCAGCTGCAAGTTCTGTTTCTTACTAACAGCTTTGGAAAAAGCACCTTACCTTTTGCTGTCCCAGTACGGATGTGCGGTGACGGTGCAACTCGAACTCCATTGCTCCTGCTAGTCAACCTGCAGTCAGTTTTCTTTGCTTTCTCCCTGTGTAAATAATTTCATGGCTTTTTTGCAAATGCATGAGCACAAATAACCAACTATGAATGAACACAGAATGACACTGGAAACAAAGGCAGTGACTCCAGGCCAGAAATGTGTATTTAACAGATACGTAGACAAACTTAAATAATGAACAATTAAATAGAGGCTGCTGGTGCAATATACCAGGAACTAAATCTGCAAGCAGTGTTACTAAACACTGTGAATGAAGATCTATATAAGGAAAGACACCAAAAAGTAAGTGGTGCAAAAGTCATTTTAGAAAGCTGATTTGTGTAATGCAGCCCTACACCAGTCTAGCATAATAGCATCTGGAAACTTGGAAGTAAGCAGAGTATTAGGTAAAGGTAGAAACGCTTTCAGTTCTCACAGTACAGAACTGTGTAGCCTGCAGGAAGTTCTGAAGCCCTCTGATGTGCAAATTATCTTCAATAAGACATTACAGCCAGTTACCACCCACTTCATAATGTTAAAGGTTGCTATCAACCCTCATTTGATTTTCAGTATATTCTGGATAGCTTTACACCTTTTAAGTTTCAAATAAATATAAAGGGAAAAAAAGGCAATTTAGTATTGGTTTAGAACGTACTTCTACTCCATCTTTTTATTAAATACCAAGCAATATTTTGAGAAATGAGCACATTCACTTCAATTCTATTTTTCAAGTTATTTCTTTACAGAATAAAAAATAAGGATTTTTATATAGTTTAGCTTCACACTATACCAGCTCTTGTGCCACCACAGCAAATAGAAGCACCTAATCAACTGCAGACTCTGTTCATCAGAGTGAATGCATTACACTTCATTTCTGGATTACTGGTTACATTGGAAACCTACTTTTCCAGCTGTGGTTTTCCTTTCTTCTTGCTAACTGCAGACAGACTTCGTTTTTCCACTGTGTGCTAGACAGAAAATACAAAGACGCCAGTCAAACAACGGAAGTGGTTTATCAAAGCCAAGAAAGCACCTTTTCTAGACCAACAGGTCCACAACTCCAAGAGTAGTGTGCTCATAGGTGCTATAACCACCAAAAAAACCACTTGTTCAGTGCATCTGAGCCTGTAAAATAATGCATCAAGTCTTGTGTTTACATGAGAATCAGCAAAACACTCAGCAAATTACTACTTGCAAGTATGCCAGATATATCAATCAAATTATTGTTTGCATACTGTTCTTCCTCCAGAGGATAAAACCAAATGTATTTCATCACACACCTGCTATAAAGAACTATCACCAAGCTTAAGGAGCTACTGAATTTATTGATATAAATGGAATCATTTGATAATTGGGAGTAGGAAGTACATGTGACAAATTACTTCTATGTAGTGACAAGCAGGTACCTAGCCTTAAACTGGAGGTTTAAGCTGCTAAACTAAACTGTAGAATACAGCATACAAGCACATAAGAAAAACATAGGACCTACACAATTTTTCATGTATACTATCACTAACTGTTATTAACAACTCATATTTGTCAAGGAGGTAAAATTTATGAAAATTCTGAAATAATCTCTGTCTAAATCATTGTATCTGGTCTTCCTTTAAATAGCTTTTCCGCTGCTTTAGTAATGAGCTTTTCTCTTGCTTCAAGCTTGCAGCGTTTCAAGCTTTGATGCAGTCTACCATTTCACGTTTAGAAGTCAACCTCAATTCATTACCCTTCTTTATGAAATACGGAAACTATGTTTGTTTGACTTGCTATTCCACATATAACATAAACATAAATATTGTAATTCCAAACATAAATAAGAGTGTGAAATACTCAAAAATACTCAAAACCATAAATATCAAGCAATTCTAATATTCTGAATTTTTCATATATAGGCAGTGAGCAAGCTTCCTTCCCCCAGTTTCATTAGTAGATAATTTTATTTATAAATAATTATTCTGCTTACCTACATTCACAATGAGATTGAGCACTGAAGAGACACAAATCTCAGACAAAGTGTATATGCATCCATCTGATAACTTTTTTCAATTATTATTTAAATAATGCAGGTAAGATAGAAAGAATGTTTAACTTACTGTACCTACTGTAGCATTAACACAATCTAGCTGCTAATACAGTTCCTAGTTTCTTCCTTGCAATAACAAATTGCCCAAGCGTTACAGAATCCTCTCCGATCACAATGCTAAAGTAACAGGAAAGTGCCTAATCAGAAATTAACATTAGACTTTTCTGATTACTTCTGATTACATTCTGCTGGGAAATTTTATTTTACAAATTCATAAACAAAATATTCAGTTTTCTGAGACAGTGGTAAGGAATCATGGAGCATTTTTCTAGTCAAGGTAAGTCAGTAGCAACTTCAACACTTATTTTGTACAATTTTAAGAGCACATTTCATCTTTTAAAAGCTACATCTCATCATGTGTAGTGGGCAGACTTCTCAAATGTCTCAGAATATGGGTTTAAAGAATAACAGTAACACACCTGGTCAAGTAGGTTACTACAGTGCTCTGGGTGCTGCTGGACAATACAGCTTTTCCTTCTCCAGTCCATCACCCCATTCTGCTCCGAGTGCTGTATGTTAAGGCTATCCAGTGAAGAACATTTTGCACTGCTAGTGCTGCTGAAAAAAAAAAAAAAAAAGGCCCAAAAGTTATGTTGGTATGAACAAACCTGCAGGCTTTTCTTACCAACATACATATTTCGCACCACGTTGGGGTATTTTGCTTTCAGAAAACCCTAGGAATTTTCAAGGGATTTAAAAGATGTAAATTACAGCAGTTCTTGTGCTCTAAAGTTATGATCTGACCATAATTTGAGTTCCTTTTTCATTTGTCTACTATAATTTGCTGTAGAACTCAGAACAACAGAATTTGTAGAAAACAGTAATTGAGGGAAGAGTTTCATTGGATACTTCTACACATAAAAACTTTGCTATTTTCATACCAGATGTGTGGAAATGTTCCAGATAGCAATGTATTCTGAATTCATCTTCTTTCTTAACATTAATGACAAAACCATAATTACTTTGTAATCCCTGTTTCAGATTTCATGAGATAATTAAAGAAAGGAGCACACAGATACTACAGATCATACTGCAGCTGTGTTTGTTTCAATTTCAAAATAGTTAACTTGCTTTGCATTTTTACCTTCATGAATGCTAGTTTTGAGTAGTGCAGGGAGAGGGGAGTTGCACTTGGAATTTACTTTGGACTTCACAGTGATTTCCACTGAAGCTTTGCTCTACAGCAGCTGGTCAGAAGCAATGCTCAACTAGGTCTGAGACCACTGGTAAACAAAAGCTGCTGAAAAAACAGTCAGGGTTCTGACAGTCAGTAGGGCACAGGGATCTATAAACTTTTTGTGTCTCATACAAAAACATGCCTTACTGCTGGCTGGATGCAAAAGGAAAAAAGAAAAAAGGAGTTAACACTTGTAAATTCTTATCTAAATACTTATGGTGATAATTGAAAATGCCTTTTAATTCAGGACTGTTGGCAAGTGGCTGCAGAAAGGTTACTGCAATATGAAATGTTACTCAGTTCCCATGATGGCAAAAATCCAGCTCACTTGAAAGCACAAGACATGCTGAAGTTCCAGTAGCTACTTATCAAATACCTCTGTGAGTAAGGGCTCAAACTACTTAAAAGATACACAACAGAATATTAAAAAAAATTAAGAAAATGGCCAAGAACCCAAGAAGGTCCCAAAAGACAGATGTAAGCCCCTGACTGCAAAGATGGAAGCAAGGTCACGTTATAAACTTCTACCAAGTGGAGGTAAATTATTTCACTGCCAAATTTGCAGTCATTTCATGGAAACTGTAGTATTGCTGAAGTTTTTGTTTTGTATGTGTGATCTCATTCCTACCAGTAAATTTTTGAACCTCTCAAGAGTAAGGCTGCAATTCTGAATGAAAACAAGAGGTAGACAGATGCACAGTGTACCAATGCTATTTGAGATGAACTGCTTGTGACTCCAAACGGTTTTATGCGTATTTAAAATAGAAAAGTTTAATTCAGTGTCATTTCTTTACAACCCATCAACAACAGGCACAGATTTTAAGGAGACAGACACATAAACCAAACAGGAGAGGACTAACAGACCCCTAGCAGTCAAGAAGTAAACACATTTCCCCCTCTTAGATAAACAGAAAATAACAATTAACTAAAGGAGTTTCTTTCTCAGGACTTTGTGGAAATGTCTGTTCCTCTCTTTCCTACCTAAAAGACAGATCCTAAACTACAGTCAGCCTTAGTATAATTCATTGTACAATGAATAAAAAAAGGACAGTTTCTGTATTAATAACTATAAGCTACTAATTTTGAATCCTGTTCTGATGACTTTGTAGTAGGCTGTATGTATATCCACCAGTGTAATCGCAGATTTTGTCAAGATGACGCTTTCTTCTTGAGAAAATATATGCTGAAAGAAGGGGAGTTAAAAACCAAAACAGACACAAACCACTAACTTGTCTTGTGGTAAATTCACAAGAATTTTGTCTGTTAAAAGATCTGTGGACCTTAACCAACACTGTTCTGTGCTACGTTTATATTCTAATTACTGGAATTCCAGGTAAAGTTTCACCACAAGATAAATACCTTTTACAGATAAATCAACACTGAACAAAACTGTAAATCCCAATAAATTTCGTATCCATTTCTTTCCCTTAATTTAATTGAATTATTGCACAACTATGTGCAAACATATCTTAAGTTTTTAATCAAAATACATTAATGAGTGAATTCACATTAGGTACTTCAGGGATCTGAAGGCATATGTAAACTACTTTAATATGGTTAGGAACTGGTTCCACTTACAATGGACACAAACCAGCAAGCTAGCTGTGCATGCATTTGCCAGTAAGCAAGGGCAACAATGGACTACCTTCACCTATAAGCTCCTCTCTGAGGTTACTTCAGCTTCAAATCAACAGCACTGAAAATTTTCAGTACAAGCATGGGGTATGTGCACATAGGAAAAACACATGCCATAGAGATTGCTACTCATAAACACAAAATATCAATTCAAATAGTGAAGATTCACAAAATTTGGATAGCTCTTCTGTCCTAAATTTTGTACATCTTCACTATTTGAACTGATGTTTTGATTTGTGTTTATGAGTAGTAGCAATCTCTATGGCATGTATTTTTCCTTCTTAGAAAGATTTAGTAATAGAGTCTTCTGAACTATTTTTCTAATAGAGATTAAGTTAGTAACAACCTCCCAGACAATAAAAATAAGACCAGAACACCCCACCAAACAAAAGCTCCACAAACAAGCTTTAATCTAGAAGGACACATACTCTCAAAGCACTAAGAAATGGAAGTTCAGACATGTAACATGGTCACATAACATCCTAGTACCTACTTGGCAACAGGACTTTTTCCATTATGCTTCTTGTGAACTGCTGTGTGTTGCATTACATCTGGAAAAAAAAAAATCAAAGCCAAATTTCAACAGCAATTCTATTTCATCTTTTAAATCAATCCAGTAAATTCACCTTTCCATTACTACCAGGCACATAGCAGAAGACATCTTCATTAAACAGCCAGGCTTAATTTACAGTGCTGAAATTAGCAGGTGCATAAAAGACAAATCAGTTTGTACAGATGATATAAACAAGACTTTACCTTCCATTTCACAGAAGAATGAAAGAGAGGAACCATGACAATGCTAATGTTTGCTCACCTCTGTATTTAATTCTAAGCACTGAATGCATGACTGAGTATCACCCAGTACGAAAGAATAGAGAGAGAGGAAAGGAATGAGTCAGAAAAAAATACAACATTTTGTAATTTCCTCTGAACTACTGAAATTAATCACAAAACTTTGTAACACATTCTGACTAGCACACAAAGACCAGTCCTACACTAAAGTACTGCATTCTGAACCTGAAAATTCCCTATGCAAATAAAACTTTACAAATTACATCTGACAAAAAGAAATACTGCCTTCAAGGCCAGGCTGGGTGGTGATCTAAGTAACCTGGTAGAGTGGAAGGTTCCCTGCCTGTGGCAGATGGTTTGGAACTTAAAGATTGCTTCCAACCCAAACCATTCTAAGAGTCTATGAAAAAAAAAAACTAAGAACTTTAGAGACACAGTCTACCCTTTTCTTGAAGGCAACTATTAAATTTTAGCAAAAGCAACTTTCCTTAATTCCAGCTATTGATGATCTTAGTATTCTTGGTACTTATGATTTTGACTGAACTCCTCTCAATGCTACACGTAAGTCCAAATTATAGTTTAAAACTCTGAGAAAAAAAATAATGATTTTTAAACTTCTGGTAAACACCAAAATGGTACAAAAGGTATTCTGAAATGCATATGTAGTTTCACCAGGTGAAGAGATTTATGTATTTTTAAAAACAATATATAAAAGACTATTTGATCAAAATTGTAAATTTACTTGGTGTGTTCTGAACTCTTAAGAATATGGCAATGATTATTTTCATAAGAAAAAGCTGTTCAAACTGCGTATGTAGATTACTGAATCCACAGAAGTTCAACAGCAAACTTCTTATGAGTTATTAATGTGAAAGAGGATAAGAGCGTTGTCATTACTTGAAAGCCAGCATAAGTGTTCAGTGGTCCGTGTTCACACATCAGTCCCCTTTCCCATCCTTTCCACCTACCAGGAGATTATATTTGTTTCCTTCCAAAAACATTGCAAAACCGGCTTGCTGTTCCTTTCAGAATGAAACTACTGACCAGACACCAGGCTGCTGCTTCCAATGTGTGAACTGTTTTTGAGGCCTTTGAAAAACACCAGATTTCAGACTGTAATCAATACTCACTACAGTCCCAAACTTAGTAACAGCCCAGAGTATCAAAGCAGCATAGGTTAAGAATAAGAACTAGAAAACTTACTCCTTTCTGTGTAAAACTAGAGGCTAAACAAATTTGGCATATTTAATGTAAAACAGTCTGCAACCCTTGAAATACTGCGCTTAACTCTGAACCCTGGTAACTGAAGAATAAATAGGCAAGGACTATGAAAAGTCTATAAATAATGAAAATAATAATGAAACTCTATGAATCATCTTGGCTCAAGATTAATTAAATTGAGAAATACATATTCCTGGTTGTTCAGCACAGCTGTGAACTTCTGCGTTCAAGCTCTCTATGAACGCTGCCACTTCTTGAATTACAGAGCAACCTCTTAAGGAAACTGCTGAAAGTACACAAAAATTCTTCATTTGCACAGCAGATTTAATTCAATTTTTGTACTACTTTATACCAATGAAGAAATCAGTCAAGTGTATGATTTCCAGAACTGAATGTGGTAAAATATCTCAAAGAACCACCTTTGAGTACACAACTACCTTCCTCCTGACTTGAAGCTTCTGAACTGTCCTCCTTGAAGTGTTCTGCTGTCTTAACCGTCTTCAAAGAGGGTTGTAAGTTACCTGCAGAGAATAAAGTTCACGTAGTAACTTTATAGAGCTCAAACAACTGCACAGTTCCTGAATGTTTTCACTAAACTGAAAGCTAGGGAAATGGAAGACTGAACCTATTGGTTTGCATTTGGCAGCAATTTGAACATTGCCTCCTTCAAAGCAGGCCATCTCCAAGAGTAAGGCCTCTTAAGAGATACTTTTATTTTGAAGAAAATAGTGTCGAAAATAATTTTAATCCTATGGTACAATTTCAAAAGGCTGTGATCATGAAAATTATTAAGAGATATTCCTACTATGCTGCACTTCAGATTTTTCTTCATAATCATTTTGTGTTACAACAGGAAATGGGAGGAGAGCACTGACAGTTACCAGCATTCTTCTGCAACAAATTATACTCCTCCACTGTCAAATCATTCATCTGCCGAAAGAGACCTAATTTGGGCTAAAGTCTTCTAGTGTCCTTAAGCACAGTCTTCACACACCAGTTTTGCCTTTTTATGCCAGACAGGATGAAAAAGAAGCAGGAATAATATTCAGAGTTTTGCCGCAGAACTACCACTTCCATGCTCTGAGAAAGGACTTCATTTGTTAAAGGATCTAACTCTAAGAGTCTACTCTTTCCCTCTCAGAAAGTTACAGGTTAGTGCAGGTAAAAGCATCTGAAAGCTGTTTCTTAGGAGCCTGAAACATCAATAAGAAGATCCTTCTGAATATCACGTGCATGGAAGATACTAAATCCCCAGAGATTATGCTCTCATGTCTACTCCAACCTGAAAAATTGTCTAAACAACTGAATTTATGAACCAGGAGGGAACTAATTGATTTCCTCTTTAATGGAACCATAGCAGCATAAATTAAGCTTACTGAATACTCAGTGTGAGATCCCAACTATTGTTTCAGGTATAAAGCTTTTCACCAAACACAGAATTCACTTCCACATAGATTTTCCTAAAAAACTTTGTATTTCTGTGAAAAGGTATTTTTATCCCTGACTATATATCAACTGAAGACCAACTTAAGCCAAAAATGCTTTGTCTGTCAATTCATCCTGCATGTTCTATTCGAGAACTACATGAGATTTTTCTTAAATATATGCTTCCTTTCCCAACACTGTCATGCAAAACGTGCCACTGTGACTAACTCGCATTAACAAGTAGCAGGATTAGAGGAATCCCAAACAGGAAACATAGAAAAATTCAAAAACCAACAATAAAAAACCCCCTCACGCATCACTTAACTGGGGTGATTTTGACAACAGGTAGTGTGAGTACTTCTGTCTTAGTACAGCTTCTATTATCCTCCACCACAGGAAATGTGACTCTGAGCTACCCTGAAAGTCATCCAGTGCCCCTTCTCAAAAGAAAAACAGCTATGCATAAATTTATCACGCTAATTCTCTTCACCAAATGTTTTCTTAATCTCTAACTCGATGTCAGGGCCTGAATTGTGCCAATGGGCTTTGCAACTCTTCCCTGCTCTCCCAAGGGCTTCACGTGCCCACAGGTGAAGATCCAATCTGGTACACTGCAGTTTTGCAATTTGGGGAGTGACTGCTGGGAAAAGAACTGGCAGATGCCTCACCCAGGGCCTCCATCCTTTGGCTCAGGAGCCGCATTTGAGCTCAGACCCTCGCCTGGGGTACACTGTCTGCACACCTGTGCCTAGACATGAATCTTGCTCGCCCTGTTCTTAACCCTGACCTACTGACTTATTTTCCCACCTTGACCTCAGACCTGCCTCACTACTCTGGACTTGTCTGGTAATCACCAGGCTCTTGCCTGCCCCTGGTCCCAATCTTCCTCATAAGAAGTTAAGCCTAGTGCTTTCTGTCTTATTCATCAGAGAGAACAGATCATCCTCTTTACATTACAACTCTTTGGTATTTGAAGACTTCAATCATCTTCCATTTGAGTCTCTCCTCCTCCCTACTAAACAATTAAGTTTCTCATCCTGTCTGTCATGCATTCTACATCTGACAAATCCCCATGAACTTTCATGTACTTATTTATTATTATAAAAATTATCTCACACTTAAGATCACTTTGTAATCTGTAAGACTTCAGACAGAATTGACATTTGTCTATTCTCCTGATCTACCCACCCTGCAGATCACTTCTGCCCAGTCAACTCTGTCTTGACGGAACTTCACACTGGTTCTTTTTTGAAACCATTTCAAATTACCACCATGTACAGCAATGCATTTGCAAGTCCTTCCCAACCAGATGCAGTCTACAGTCTAAAATACGCACAGTGTCCAGTGTGCCCATCGTTAACATGAATCTTTGTGGACTTTGGAAACTCTTTCCTCCCCATGCAGCCTTTCAGTACAATAGCAGTACACGAGAGGTGTCAATCTTTACAGCCGTAAATTCCAGCCAGTTCTACAATCACCCTGATTGTTATTAGCTTAACGTTTTCACAAAACTGCCATGTAAGAATGTACAAAGTGCTACTAAAAATGTTAGAAAGTGACCTATAGCTTCTACCCTAACTACAGTGCTTCTGTCTCATCATGGAAAGAATATATTAGTCACAGATCACACACACCATTTCAAACTAAAGTCAGCTGTCATTCCTCTATTTTTTTCCAAATGAATATGAGCCCCCTGTTTGGAACCTCCAATCTATTCAATTCCTTACTAAGATCTTTGGCAACTTCTGAGGCAGTGGCAATACAGCCAGTGCCTCAATTGTCATGGTGTATAACATGCACTGAAAGAATAAAAGATTCAATGGAAACAAAGATCACATCCATATAGAGAAACCAAGCTTTGGTTGCACAAACAACTGTACTACATAAATAGGTTAAGAGGGCCACCAAAGATATCTCTGCAATGCAAATGCTGGAACACAATTCTGTATGTTTTGAAACTAGGGACATCCCATCTATGTACTCAAAACAAATATTAGTTTAAATATCAAGACAGATGCTTAATTGACAAAAGAAAAAAGGCAGATGTGATTTTTCAGGTCAGTTCAAAACTTTTGTTCCAAAATTGAAGATTTTGAGAAAGGAAGAAGTGCCAAACTGTTGAAAGGGGAGGGCAGGGGCAGGNGGGGCAGGGGCAGGGGCAGGGAAGGGACAGGGGAAGGGACAGGGGAAGGGACAGGGGAAGGGACAGGGGAAGGGACAGGGGAAGGGACAGGGGAAGGGACAGGGGAAGGGACAGGGGAAGGCAAGTTGATGCTACATAGCATGTTACCACTGTCAAAAGTACGAGTACCTGCTCAAAAAACTATTCATTGACCCGGAGGTCAAATACAACCAATATTGTCAAATACAACACAAACACAAAATTATAAAACTGTACTTAGGCACAGCAGCAAGAATAGCTTTTTATAGACTTTTCATTATATAAAACAGTATTAGGACATTTCTTACTGTGAGTGTGCAAAGATTCTGATGAAATTGATTGGAAGAAGTTGTATACTCTCTGATTCTGCAGAAAAGCTTGCGATGTATTTGAAAATAGCTGCCTGAAATTTAAATGAGAGTTTTTTTAACTACATAACAGAGTCATAGGAAGAACACAAAAATTTACTACAGTACCATTTAAAAGCAAAATGGGAAGTTCTTAAGAAGTCCAAACCCTTCAAATTGCACATTTAGCATAAACAATGTTAAAAACTACTTCTGAGCTTTGCTATTAAGTGATAGTATAAGCTTGGAGTACAGCCAATATAAGAAATTGGTACAATGATTTTTTTGAATTTAAAAAGGTAAGTGCTTTTGAGTCATCCCAATTCAAATATTTTAGCCACTTGTAACATTTTACAAAAGAGGAGTTTGGACTGAGTCCAAAAGCACTGGACTCTGTATTTTAAAGTTCATTTTTTTTAAACTGAGAGCACATTTATGTTCCCAAAACAACGCATCTCTTTCTTAAATACATTCATATGGTTAAATACAAAGTCGAATCCACTTATAAGATCAGTATTTGAATTTCATAATTATCTCCAAGAGCAAAGGGTGGGATTCTCAACATTGCTCTGCACTGGTCTGAGTCACCAAGAGGTCAGTGACAAATTCTATTAGCTTCAAATAAGAAAATAGGCCAACAATGAATGGTTTTCACTTCCCACACACCAAGGTCTCAGATATTACTTGCCAGGAGACATTACCCAGTTCTATTTCTTTGGAGGAGGGGCAGGGGAGAGCAACTTTTGGCAACTGGGCACATACTGAAACCCCCAAATAAGTATATATGCTAAAACTAACACTGAAAGAAAAAGGAATTTGAATACAGTAATACTATTCTCTTGAGATTATTCATGTAGCATTCCTGTATAGTCACAACACAACCAGCAAACTGTAGTTACAGTTGCTTACTTTAACACAGTTGGGTATGTTCAGAGGTTATCTTTGAAGTGAGTCTCTTGGGTTTGTAATTACTGTGCAGTGAGGCTTTACAACCTTTCTGTACTACAATACATTCCGTTCAGTCAACCTCTGTTTAACAGGTTTATTGATTTAAAACCACTATGTTCATTAGCCAAAATTGTTCAGACACATTAATTTTTGACTTGACAATCAAGCCAATAGAGACAGACAAATATTATAGACCAAAATTTGTTAAAAACTTGGCGAGAGGGTGGTTGAGGCTCAGAGTGGCTTCACATCTTCTTCAACTAAAATATTAGGACAAAATGCTAAAACCAAGAGAACATTATGAGTAGGAGTTTGAAAAGCAACTACCCCAATTTAAGAGACACTGCCCCATTATGACATTATGATGAATAATTTGTTTTCAACAAGGTTGAACAATCCTGACTGAAAAGGACAAACATAACAAGGCATCTGTACCAAACAACAACAAAAAAACAAGTAGGCAAACCTAAATTCATGTTACTGTTCTGAGTCACAGAATTCGACCACCAAGTTCTCTCATGACTAAATAGCATATGATGAGGTATGGGCCATTTTCTTACAAATACATGAGCTACTTTTAATTTTATATACATGCTTCACTATTACTGTTTATTCCTTTTAAATTCAATTCTGTTTCTCACTCTATCCTGTCATAAAAAGAACCTATGTGCTCTGAGTTACTGTTTCTAGTATTTCTAAATATACCCTTGTGTAAAGGAGGTAGCAGTAATCCTTCCACAAGTGCCAATCATTGCTATATAATGCTGCTTAGGACAAATATTTCCTACTTGTACAATTACTTCCAAATAAATAATTCTACCAAGTCTAGTAAAAGTCTTAATTCAAAGAAAATCTGAGAGTCAAGAGTATCTGTTTAATCACTGCCTTCCCACTTTCTTAGCAAATTTGGTTTAGGTAGCAGAATTTCCACTGTCCATAGGAGCCATCTAGCTTGACTTCAATCACTTCTCCGGTGATACATTTCAGGCTATTTGCTAAAACATTTACCTGATTATGGGCTCAAGATCAGCATGCCTTCGTTCCTCCCTCTTCTGAAAACCCTGATTTAGTGCTCTTAAAATAGTCTTGTCAAATGCTTCAGAAGACAGTTCCTTTGGGAGCTGAGAAAAAGGTTAATGTGAAAAATGAGTAGTTGACATTTTAAAGACTGTATTTGTCCACTATGTGTCTTTATACCTTTTGGTATCAACAAGAAACTCAGTTGTTCCAGTTTGAGTGATGTATTTTACAGACCAAAGGTACAACAAATCAACATCATATAGTTTTGCAAGAGAAACACCTTGCTGTAAATCCTCACAGTAAATCCAGGCATAAAATTGTTTAAAGCTCTATTTGAAAGAAATACACTCAGAAATCTACCAATACCGTGGTCTTTTCTAGGATAGCTTACAGCCTTTTTTTTTCATTTATTGCTTTAAATCTTTCACACATAGAAATTAGTTCTGAAAATAACAGGAAAAAATAACCAGGCATGGTACTCATTATCATCACTTAGCTAAACTATTTTAAATAAACAGGAGTATAAAGGGAACCAGTTATTTAATACACTAGACTTCAGTGGGCAACACTGAGATTAATTAATTAATAGCAAGTCCTCCCCAGTTGCTATTAACATGGAAATTTCTTACCAAAATTCATTATAACTTTCCAATGTCAATATAACAAAGTGAGGTCTTCTGATGCTCTAGTTGAGAAGGCAAAATTCTTGCTACTAAAGAGCATTTCTGTTTTAAATGAAGAATAAACGAAGCCAAAAGGCACCAGAAATTTACTGCAGAAGTGTGGGAGTGAGCAAATCTCCTATCCTAGTGTTTTGTATGTAGATTTGTCTCTGAAAACAGCTAACTTCTTGTCTTTATAACTCCTTGCAAAGGAATGCAATTCCTTCTGTAGTTAAAGATTCAGTTATATGAAGCCAAGATTAGGCGCTTAGCTAAAGGTAATGGGATAGCCTTGTTACTTACAAGCTTATCAGTCTTTCCACATATGTGGGTAATTTCCTACTTGCAAAGAGGTTTTTCATGCTTATCACCTAAGAGAAACCAGTCTCTAATATAAAGCATCCAAGTTATGCCATTTACTGCCTTAGTTTTCCCACCAATGCTTCTATCCTGAAACAGTTTTTACCATTATCTTATTTCTATTACATGCAGCATTAGAATTTTCCATCAACTATTTTGACCATTTTTTTCTGTCCCTAGGAAACTGAACATACTATTTAACAATGCCATATAGATTGGAACAAGAACAACAAAAAGACAAAATGTAAGGGCATATGAAGCGGACATTTATACTTTTATGCTTTTTTAAAGCAAGGTGTAAGTTCTATCCTGCTTTATTTAACAATTCTCTGTTCTATACTTACAGCTATCAAACCAACGCAAACTAAATATATTTTTCAGCTGTGCACATTTTCCACAGAAGACCTAAGGAAGCTCATAGCAGCTTGTGGTTGTCTTCCTCTTGTTCTGCCATCTCTTAAGACATTGCTGGAGCAGTCAAGCCAGCACATGGAACACCCTACAGCAGTCAAACAGCTCTGGATCATGTCTGCTTTCCTGGTTCTTCTAGGTTCTAGGAGGTCAATTTCAGACACTTATGTTTGTCTTACACAAGTGGGAGCACAGGAGGCATGCACCTGAATGCTCATCCCAGAGCTGTATGAAATACTGTTTTTAGGGTTCTCTTGAGGTGCAAATGCATGTACCCTATGCTGTGGGATAACCTGCAAGTAGACATGCCATCCATAATTCAAACCCTCACAAACCAAGCTTTGGGAACTCGTAGAACCACATATTCAACTAGATTAAAGCAGTTGTGAATATTCACTGCTTCATTTCTGGAATACTGGAAAACCACACTGATAATTTAAACTGAACAAGACAATGACCTTTGTACAGGGACTGGCTTTCTGCTCGCAATTAACATTGCAGTTAAGGACACCAGATGCCATCAAAATATGTTCAAAACACATCTGTCATTACTGCCCTGAATAAGGAAGAGTTTAAACATAGAATAATTTCCCATAATAGGTGGAACCCAAAATAGTAAGACACTGGCAGTGAACACAGTTTGAAGTCATCACACTAAAGGGTCTGCACATGGCCAATGAATAGAAATGTATTCTCTGCTTGGAGCATGGGGGAAAACAACTGAGAGAACTTTTAGCTTTTTTAAACATGGACACACATGCACATACATGCTAGATTTTCCTCAAGTTGAACTCTTTGTGATGATGAACAAACTTCCTTTGTTCTACTGAAGAATACAACAGTTGAATTAAAAACTATTACGCTTATGGCTATGTCTCGTTAATTAAATGTAACGAATTCCACTCTTCAAGGTCCTTCTAATGAGAACACAAGCAAATGACCAGTGGTTGTACCTATACATGACCTCTGTGGGGAATATTAAAAACTCATTTAGTAGTTTCATGGAACTTGAATTAAAACTCTAAGCACATTTTGGATGAGACAAGTAATCACCTGAAAAATTCAAACATTCTGCAGGACTGCTCCTCCTGCCAAGATTCTTCATTCCAGTTGATGTAATTAAATGGTTAATACAATTGTGAAGTATAGGAATCTGCTAGCATGCTTTTGCTTCTATAATTATACCCCAGAAGTCATAGCTCTCCTAGACTACTTCTGAAGTTATAAACCTGATGTGTAAAGACTACTTTCATATTTGAATACATACTTTTAGCAGGAATTCCTGAAGCTCCTGATGTGTTTTTGTTACACATGTTACTGAAAAATCGGACCAGGTTACCTAGAATAAAGAAAAAAAGAACGAGGAAAGTTTCTTTTTCCAAATTTCATAGCAATTAACTTTTCAGAACAATTCCATAAATTTGGCGATCTCAGAGTTAACACTCACAATTAAGCAAACACCAGGCAAAATGGGGATAAGGCCGTACTTTTTCTAAGACATGATAATTTTGAGTGTGTATTTTAAGATCACCTTCATGTTATTTGTGGCTAAAGGGAGCATGGACAATTTCAGGGAAATACGATGAAGTCCCTGAAGATTACTGATTCAGAGAGAAGCCTGGCAGAAGGCTCTGTTATTACGGGACTTGTATCAAGCAGAAATAATAAACCACAAAAAACAGGTACCAAAGAAAAGGACTGTAGATCAGATATTTTGGATTGAGCTCTCACTGTCATTACTAGGAGTCAAAATGAAACAATAAAAAATCTGTTTATATTACCTAAAAAATAAGTTCATCTGCCTCAGACACAAATCTTACACAGTCACATAGATGTTGTTTTAAGCTACAAGTCATAAAAAGTACTGCAAGTTACTAAAGAAGGCACTCAAAAATCAGACAACATTTTGGCATATGCCTGTATAAAATTTCAGTAGCTTATTGTTCTGACATGACATGCAAGTAGTAAAACATCACCCTCACATGCATGTTTCCAGTTAAAAATAAGTAAGCTTGGTTAGATGAGTGCTGCCCAGCTTTAAGCTCACTTCTGGGCCAAATTAGTTACATGGGAAGATACAGGTAACAGGAGTGGACATGACAATTATAAGCATTCATTTACTCCCAAGAACTGATAGAGAAATGTCAACCACAAACTGCCTTCAGCATAGTTCCCAGAAATTCCAACTACCCTTGGTGCCCTCAGCTGGGAAGCCATGACTGCAATTGCTGTTAAAACCTTAAAAAAGCAGTGTCTGGGCAAGCACGAAATTATCTACAGTGAGGAGCACGGTATATACCTGCACAGACGAGGAAAGGAAACTCTTTCCTAAAAGAACTGGTGGAGTTTCAAGATTACTGAAATACTTGCCAGAATATCTCCACATTCCCCCTTTAACAAAGAAATTCAAAACCACTGTCAAATCTGTCTACATGCTAAATCTTTAGAATAGTTTTTTGACATTAAATGCTGATAATCCATATAGGCATTCTGTACAAAATTTTCACACCTCCTACTGTATTTTACTTTGTACTTCACAGACTATTTGGAAAAAAAATCTATGACATGGTTGAAATGTTTGGTTAACATTAAAGACTTTGAAGGGTACATTCCATATATTACTGTCCTCAACAAAAGAAGAGTGCATCCATTTAGAGAATACAGTATCACAGGATTCAATACCAAGCTCTGGGATCAACACATCAACTTTCAGCTCAAAATGGCTTTTTTTAAGTTTGCTTCTTCAAAGACCTCCTGTAACCCATATCAAGTGGTGAGTTAGAATGCTTATTGCAAACCATTCTTTTTTGGATGAAAAAGGGGAACATTTAACTTTATCTTCAAATCTGGTATACCACCAGAGTCACATCTATTGACACAATGACTCAGTGTTAGTCAGCCCTTGCTAAGAAATTACTACCTTGATTCAATTAGAACATCACCACCAACAGCCTTATCAACTATTATTTAATGAATGCTGCCCTTAGCTACTGCAAGAGATGAAAACTATACTAGGCAGGCCTTCCAGTTTGTGGCCATTTTCCAGCTTGTTTGGTTTTGCCTTAAGAAACGAAGTCCAAAACAAAGGAACCAACCTCCAGTTTTCTCAAAGAGCACAGGATCCACCCTCATATGGTAAACAGTGAGAAATAAGATCCAAGATGACCATATGATTCAAAGCAATCTACAGCTGCAGACACGATTGTGCTCCTGTGCCATTTGAGCAAATGAGTGGCTAGTTTTAGAAATCATATGAATTAGCAAAAGCCAAGTTTCCTGAAGTGATGTCACACACCCAGCTATGGCTGATGTTTTACACCTTCCCCCACCTTTATGCCCTCACACTTTATGCCCACAATTACGCAAAACACCTGATTTTTGCACAGAATTCAAAAGAATTACAGGATAATCCAAAGAATTTCAAAATTGCCTCCTGTGCAGGTTTTTTAAACAAGCTGTATGTATCTGCAGTACATAGACAGTAATTTAACATTCTGGAGGTTATTCGCTTACTTTGAATGTGTACTCCAAATGTTTGTCAGCCCTTTTTCTCGATACGTCTTTCAGGGTTATCTTCTCAATGTGTACAGCTGAAAGAAAAACACCTTATTGTGCACTCCAAAACTGACAGTTTGCAAACCATTCCCTACTTTCCCAGGCTCTCTGAGCATGCCCGTAGGCCAAATCCTGATGCACACAGCATGACTCTTCTTTAGGAGCTGTTTTATTGCAACACACTGCCAGGGGCAGGTAGAACCTTGCTCTCTCCAAGTACTCCTCTGGCCTAGCGACAACATCATCGTCAGTGCATGTCATGGGAACCTGTGCATTACCCAAGAGCTTATTTAGACCAAATGTCACATAACTACAACAATATAACCACTCTAAGTGAAAAGACAATAAAAGGAAGTCAAATTGTATCTTTACTCCAAGAAGTAACAAGTGCTGATAAAAAACAGACAGTGCCTTCTACACCTAGGGCTCAGAAACATCAAGTAGGAAATGAGGGCAAACTAAGGCCAAATAACCACATTTCTGAAGGGTACTTAGGCAAAAAAAATAGTTAGGGAATGCCTGAAGGAGACAGAAATGAGTGCCAGCAAACAGAAAACAAAGAGAAGAAGCAGAAAGCTACAACAATTGTACTGTAAAGCGTGTTATTGAACTAAACTGAGAAGGAAGAAAGGTACTGTAAGTACTTGCTACTTTAACATTCCTTCCCCACAGCCCACTGTATGCGGCAATAGGTGAGTTCTGGCTGTGACCTGGCAAACAGCAGCACCATATGGCTTTCAGGGTCTGGAGGTTTTCTTGAGGGCACACAGCATTGTTCAGGTAATATTCCATATAAAACCCTTATGTAGCCAGGATGGGCTTTTCACTTTTGCTGCTATACTGGCCTAAGTACTCAACAAAATTTTATTCTAGTGCAAGCCTGAACACATCTTTACATGTGAAAATAAATTTATTTAAAAGCAGCTCAACCCACCCTACATCATCAATGCTTCCTTTCAATGCTTTAGAAACCCTTTTTTTGGAGGGAGGTGGGTGGTGTTAACAGTTAATGTTTTCCTTTCAATTTTTAACTGCATGTTTACATGGGATATATTGGGAACTATCATAACAACAGTATTTTTTCTAAAGAAATTAAAGCTCCTGCAATTGTATGCTACAAAATTTATTAATGGATATTAGCTAATTACCATCTAATATAAACATTTTTAAATTCATTTTGTTACAATTCAAGTCTCACCCCTATCAAACATGCTATTTCTAAGAGAAATAAGTATTGGCAATTTCCATAGAGGAACAAAAAGCCAGCAAATAAGCCTAGTGATAGTGCTACAGCTTCCAATTTTCTTAGAGAGACAAATAGTGTGCTGGTGGATAATGGCTGAAATACTCTAGCTGGGAGTTAGGAAGATAGACAAGCACTTCATTTACACCACTTAATGAAGATTTATTACTACAAAGGAAAGAAATCTGAGATGAGCTAAAGATGCCAGACAATATCAATATTTTATGAAAAGATGAATATTTAGTGATCTTAATTTTTACATGTCTGTTATAGACTAAAGTGCTGTTTGAAGAAGGACCATAGCACAACGAAAATCTGATGCAGTAAAATTTCTTAATGGCTAACATTCAAATTGATACCGGAATTCATATTCATAAGTTAATTAAGAAGTTGATTCCCATGACTGGAACTGAGAATAGTGGTTTAAATTGCATTCCACTACATGCATATATTTAGCATACACAATTAGGAAACTAAGACCATTAACATTCACAGACAAGCTTTTCTTCCCTAATGAGACTGTGCTTATTTTAGACTATTGAGTGTTCTCAATGCTAAAAATTTGTCCTCAGGTATAAAAAAATGTATTACACAATGGAGTACCTTCAACTTCCTTAACTTCTTTCTGCTGCACACTTCATCATAATACATGATACAACAGGTAATTACACTGTTGTTGCTGCACACCTTTAATTCTACAGTTTCAACAGACTCCTTTATAATTCTGTCTCCACACCGACATTTAAATTATTCTAAATGGCTAGACGGGCAGAAAAGTTTGAATACACAAACCAATGAGGCGTGTTACATCTCTGCATCTATTCTGGACACAGCACATGCATCCAGGATGATTAAGTAAAGCATGTACACATGACACTGATTCCATTTTAAGTCAAGATTTTAAAAATTCATATTCATCACAGCTGAGAATAAAACCTGAGTTTCACTATCAGTGGTACTTCTAACCCAGTAAGGAGATTTCTATAGCAGGGAGTCTCTACCATGTAACTGTGTAGCAAATATCACAAAGTTATTCTGATCCTTCACTGTGGTTTCTCACTGTGATAATACAAATGCGGAAAAATATTTAAGCTTTTTGCTAGATAAAATTATTCAACTTTTTTGGGCTTCTGTTATTAATTTGAGAGTGTTACTAAAGCGATTCTCCCTTTTAGGTTTCTAATTCATGAATACGAACACTTTGAACTCCATAAAAGGAATTGAAACAGGTTTGTTGTCTGTAATCTGCCATAATCTTTCTCTGTGTTTTTTTTTTTTTTGAAAGGAATCAAAAACTCTCAAATTGCCTGACTTCAAAGTGCAGTTAAATCTCCACACAAGAGACAAAAGGACATTTATGAGGACAAAATGAATAGCAGTCGTTTTTCCATATTGTTGGCTCCTTGCTATCTGCAGCCTATCTGTTGACTAATTTTGAGTAGACAAGTGACTTGCTAATCCTCTTGAAGAAAAAAGGGTGAGAATAAATCTGTTTTCAATAATGTTCATTTCTTCAAAGAGAAGAAACTGTGCTGGCAATATCAGAGTTTTGTTTATGCTCAGAAGCCTTGTTCTTCTCCTCAACAGAGCCAAAACACTGACTTCTATGAAGCCTTTCACTTCTCCAAACTGTCATTTCTGTAAAACCTGCTAATATGTGGTTTTATCTAATTGTTGCTTTTTTTTTTTTAAATCTCATCAAATACAGCTGAATCAAGCAGCAAAATTTATCGACTGCTTCCCTAATTTTTGTGTTTAATTTTGCTTTAAAAAATCTAAATACTATTAATACAGTTGCATTAAATGTTCTTGTTTTCTTCCAAATCCTACCCCTTTTCTTCAGTGGGAAGCCCATTTGCAGCTCATTTTCATGCATTCACTAGTAGTTAGCAGCTAACACAAATGACAACTTGTTATAACAAAGAAAAGACCAAGTAGGCAGCAGTGAAGCTATTTTACTTACCAATCACAGCAGCTTCTTGTTTAGATGAACAACAAGATAGATACAAGATGTCTACAACTCCAAGCAGAATTTAATGTTCAAGGAAACCCTTAAAGCCTTCCTCAAAGGAAAGCTCAGACAACATACCTTCTCGCTGAGGTCTATGGGAAGCCATCGAGAGTCCATCATGAGGTGCTGTGGTTCGTTCTAGCAAACTGGTCTCATTACTTGGCATGCAGTCACCATGGGAAAAGTCATTCTAAATTGAGAAAAAAATAAACGTCTTAGCAGAAGGTCTGTTACCAAAGTTTGCTCTAAACAGCAGGTATTACAAAAAACAACCCCACAAACCCTTTATCTGGTATTCCACTGTTTCCAGGACAAAAAACTGAAGCTCTTGACAATGACAAAAAGACAGTCATTAGCCATTTCAGTTTTTACTTTATTTATGTGTTTATCAAACCTATAATCTCCAATGTTTCATTGACCGTATTTCAAACTAAATATATTCTCCTCAATTATATTCTTGCCCTATACCTTCAGCCCGCCACCTCTTCTATATAGGGAATCATAAGTAACTCCTTGGACAGTCTATGAGAACACGTGATCCATGCATCTCTAACCAACTAAATCCATGTATCTCTAACCAAATAAACATTCAGAACCTAAGAAGTTGCCATCAACATCCTTTCTTAGAGGAAAGGACAGACTGAAAAGCTCATCTCCCCCCACATTTGCATGCAGACTTCAGAATTATATACCAAGACATATTACTGGTTTAATACAGTGCACAAGAAAGGACACAACAAGAAATCATAGGAGATAGATAACATGGACAGATAAGAGAAGAAAGAACAATCTAGGCTAATAATGATAAATAAGAAAAAAAAAATTAGAAGAGCATGGACTACAAGTGGTTTCCCTAGGGTAACAAGAGCCTATATAATTTTTTCCAAATTAAGATGAAACATTAATGTATCAATTTACACATTCTTCAATGACCAAGTCATTGCTAAAACAGAAGCAAGCAAGCAAATAGACCAACCAAGCTAAAACTCAGAAATATTTTATAACATCAGTAACATTAAATGCAGCTGTTTAATTCCATGTTCAAGGAAACAACACATTGCCTTAGAAAGGTACATCCAGAAAGAACTAGGAAATACAGGAAGTTACTAGCAAGATTTTGGATTAATCTGTTTCAAGTAAAGCACCTTAGTTTATCTGTAACTAGTATAACACCTGAGCTGATTGAATAGCAAGTTTGGGAAAACTGAATGCACCAGAAACATTTAGGAACTGGTCTGCATGAAAACTAATTTTTTCATTAAGGATGAAGCACACTGGAAGACATTCATAACAGACGGGTAGAGAAAAAATATAAATCTCTAGAGAGCAGTCTATTTTTAAATTCAGGAAGCATAACAATTAATGCCAGAATATATGTGGTTTGCTGGGTTTTTTTAAGGACTTGTGTAATGTGATGAAACAAATCATCAGCCAAGATTTGTTACTGTATTTGTTGAAGAGGACCATAAGACTGTCACAACAGAAAGACCAGAATGAGGAAGCACAGAGGCAGCAAAAGACATCTGATCTCCTGCTAATTCTTCAACAAACTTCTTCAGATGTGACAGATATATCAGCTAAAGCTGGCTTCATCTTACTAAACCAGCATTACTTCATCTACAGAGTGGTTACAAACTGTGGCAACTCCCAACAGCATATCCAACACATGCAGACCCAGTAAGTGTCCGGGTATCAAGCCTGCCCTGGGCATGCTGGTAACCCAACTTTTATTAGTGACACCAATAGCAGCAGTTAGCAAGTGCCTTTAGACTGCACTGCAGAACATTTCAGCTGTTTCATCAAACCAATGTGTAGTTTGTGCTCTGAGCTGAGCATCAGTAACTTCAGGTTTCAAAGCCATCAGATTTAAAATATAAAGCCTGCTTTGTTTCTTCAAGATAAAACTCACACCAGTACCCAGTCACTCTGTAAACAATCTCAACAAACATCTAATAAATTTTAAGTGCAATGTCATACATGGAGTAAAGAAAGGAAAACAGCTGTATGTCAATGAGACCGCAATTTTTAACTGCTTTAGCACATTTTCAAGTTTAGTTTACTAAAAAAAACCCTGAACAAGCCAACGCACAAGCATGCTCTAGAGAGATCCACTTCCAGAACTCTTAAAAAAACCCACTGATACTGTTTCAGCAGACATTTCATAACAATTGTTGACAGAAAATTGTGGAAGTACTTTGATTTACTCCTGATCTAAAACCAATCAAATCTGAAGTCAGACCTTCTTTTGCATTCAAAGTCAGGATATTTGTTTTAATAGAAACCAAATTACAGCTTATTGTAAAAAACAATTGGTAGTTAAAAAGTCAAATAAACTGTGAGCAGTTTTTAGGAGATGTACAGAAATAGGATTTACTTCAAAAAAGTATTCAACTTATGTCAAAGAAACATTAAAAACTGCTGCTACACCTTCTAGTACTAGAGAATTGCATCTTACCTAGCACATACATCATATCTTTGTAACAGCATTCAAATACTTTTGCAGTGAATTATTCTAGAATGGTTATTTTTCTATCCATGGCAGCACTCTGTAACAGGCAAACTACAACTGCACTTGAAAACCCCCTAAACTACAAAACATGAAATGTTTCAAACCTTATTTAAATAATTATGTCCATTATTATAAAATAATTATAACTATAATAAATTCATTATTTATTCACTTGAAAAATTCTGCACCTCCAAAGTTAACCAGTAATATGCACTGTGTGTATTCTGTGACTGCTGGCTTTCACAATAGCTAGTGCAACGTAGGAGTAGACAGTGGGAAATCCAGAGCAGTCAGAGCTTACAGCCTGCAAAGCTCCAGATCCTGCCTTAAGCTGCATTACAACTCTCCACTTCTGGCGTTACCTGCTGTGATAATTCTACAAACTCATAGGTAACTGAAACACAGGTTTCACTGTCAGAGCAGACAACACTAGAGCACAGGTGACTGCAAAGTCTAGGCAGTCTCAAGGGCCAAAGAGTGGCATTGTGTGTTGCTACCTGGTGCCAGTCACACCAGGAACACAAGTTCTTTAAAGCCTGGTACGCTGCTGAGGAAGGTCATGCTGTACAGAACTAGCTGTGCTCATCCTTTCCTGTCAATGAATACAACATACTCCATGTTCACACAATACACACAAGCCTAAGGTTAACTCTCACGTAAGCCTTTGTCACTGTGAGACTATTGCAGCTCACAGTGCTGCTGCTAGTGATTAAAATATAGTGAAGTAGGAAATGTGGGTGGCCCCAAACCAGCTGCCAGATAATTAATTTGATAATCACACAGGTCTTCCTGATGGGCTGGAAGATTAACTACACTTCTCCTTAAAAGTGAAACAAGCTAAGAGAGCACCCTAAAAATTATCTGCTCTTACAACCTAGACTAGAGTTTTGTATGAAACAGATCTGTCCTCATATGGTCAAAAGCAAGTACTATGTTAAAAAAAACCTTATCCCTTCCCAGGACTGCAATCCCAGGATTCATAATCACAGAATGTTTTGGGTTGGAAGCGACCTTAAAGATCACCTAGTTCCAACCCCTCTGCCATGGGCAGAGACACCTTCCACTGGACACTGCTGCTCAAAGCCCCATCCAACCTGGCCTTGAACACCTCCTGGGATGAGGCATCCACAATTTCTCCAGGCAGCCTGTTCCAGTGCCTCACCTCCCTCACAGTAAAGAATTTCTTCCTAATATCTAGGATGTGGTTGTACTCCTAGCCTGCAAGCACACATTGCCAGGTCACATTGAGCATCTCATCAAACCACACTCTCAAGTCCTCCTCTTCAGAGCTGCTCTCAATCCATTCTCCACAAAGCCTGTATTTGTGCTTGGGATTCTCCCAAGCCACCGGGCAGAACCTTGTACTTGGCCTAGTTGAACTTCATGAGGTTCACTGAGATTCCTCTCTCAAGCCTGTCAAGGTCCCTGCAGATCCTTCCCTCCAGTGTGACAACTGCAAAACACAGCTTGCTGTCATTGGCAAGCTTGCCGAGGGTGCCCTTGATCCTACTGTCCATGTCACTGACCAAGAGGTTGAACAGCACCAGTCCCAATACCAACCCCAAGAAACTCCAGCTGTCACATGTCTCTGCTTGGACCAGTGAGCCCTTGAAAACAACTCAAGTGTGACCATCCAACCAATTTCCTTATCCACCAAGTGGTCCATCTGTAAAATCCATGTCTCTCCAGTTTAGAGAGAAGGCTATCAAGTGAGACAGTGCCAAATACTTTGCACAAGTCCAGGGAGACAGCATCAGTTGCTCCTCACCTATCAACACTACCAGCCTGATGTAGAAGGCCACCAAATTTGTCAGGCATGATCTGCTCTTAGCAAAGCCACATTTGCCACCAAATGTCTCCTTATTTTCCACATGCCTTAGCATAGCTTCTAGGAGGACCTGTTTCATGATCTTGCCAGGCAGAGGTAAGACTGACCAACTTCTAGCTCTCTGGGTATTTCTTATTTCCCTTTTTAAAAATGGGGCTTATGCTTCCCTTTTCCTGGTCAGTGGAAACTTCCTGAGACTTCCTTAGACTGCCATGACTTCTGAAATATGATGGATAGAGGCTGAGACACTTCAACTATCAGTTCCCCCATGCACGCATCTCATCAGATCCCATTGTCTTGAGCACCTTTGTTGTAGTTGATAGCCTGAAATGTATCTTTTCCCATCTTTTATTTGTGATTCTCCCCTCACCCCCAGCTTCTCTTTCTCCTAACTGTTTACCTGGCGTCAGGTTACCATGATTACTGAAGTTTCTCTCCTCAGCTCCACGGTGAGAGGCCGGATAGAGTAAAGAGAGGACCCTGCTGGCATTTCCAGCTGCTTGAAGTTTCTTTAGCCCAGGAAAGCACGGGGTTGGGAGAAGAGAACCCTTCTTTCCAACACGGAAGTTTGTAACTTTTTCGTGTCCCAGAATGCCTCTAAACTATGGAAGCTGAGAGGGCATGCTTACCTTGCCTTCCCTTTCTTTCCCCCCTGGGTTGCCAGGAAACCAAGCCCCCCCTCTCTCCTCCTCTGCCCCTCTGTGGAGAATACTCCTACACCTTTGTGGGCATTTGAAGAAGTTGGTGTCTGTTATTTCTTATCTTGGTGTGTGTAACCTTGATTTGTAGAAAGTTTGTAAGATGTACTAACTGAGAAAAATAATTGGTTCTTTCTCTGATGTTCCTTCC